GGTTTGCCGACGGAGAATACATGAATGGAGTCGCCGCGTGTATATGCAAATCTGTAAAGGGTGTGTATTTGTAGGTATTTATAGACATTTTTTCCTACTTTAACAAATTTAACGAAATATTCTCACATATATATTGTTTCAACAAGACTATAAATCGGTTATGTACCGAACGAAAGCTCCAGTTATGTTAAAATATCATAATCAGTCGGAACCAGAATTTCATAGGGCTTTGCGAATCGTTTTTACTCTTCTTTCGACAATAGATTAAGTCGATGTAAGCATTTCACTAGGTCTCAAGACTAAAATAGAGGTAAATTGATGAATCGAGGAAGAACAGATTGTTTTGAATGCTTATTAATTTGAAATTACCAAAATGAAACGACAAAAGAATCATTGGAATCAGACCATTATGACCAAGGAAGTTGATAAGCGTTTTGAAATTTATTTATATACTTAGTTCATGCCTGCATATCTTGACTATTATTTTTCATCCTTGAAATTCCAACAGTTAACTACATTTCCATCTCTATTTATTTAGGTGTATTATTTTTAATAATGAACCGTTCTAAGCGATTGAAACAAAAGACACGTTGCACTCATCACACAACCTTCACTTACCACCCTATTTCGAGTATAAATAAGTATTTTCATACATAGCGCATTTAAAGTAAAACGTATAAACGGCATAGCTTAATAAACAATTATAAATTTCTTTGAGAGTATATATTATCGATTTTGTATTACTGCTGACAATGTGAGATACTTAATTAAAAAATGATACTTTACAGGAATAAATCTTGATAGTTGCCAATTTTTTTTTCATAAATGCGTAAGCGAAAGTCAAAATAAATGTATCCTTCACTTAAGGCAAGACCCTCCATGGGTTGTAGTGGTACATGTTGTTTTTTTCTTTTTTCTCCAACAGTTTGGTGAATCTACTTATTTCCACATTAATTTACCATTTGATCATTGTTCCATGTACTTTTCAAATTATTTACACGGGCAAAGTAGTGTAAATAATTACAAGAATAATTATTAGAAAACTAGAAATATTTGAATTTCATTTTTTCATCATCATTACTGTTAATGCAAAAGGTCGGTCATACGCAACAATTTTCCATACTTATTCCATTTGTGGTAAAGTTGATATTTTGTAGTCTGCAACTGCAATACGTAGTCTGCTACTATGGAAAATAGCAAAGAGTAATAATATAGGAAATTATACTCATAAATCATAAAGAAATAATCAGTTTTTATGCTCTTCTGTAACAAAAAAAAAAAATTTACATATGACCTTTTGCACTAACTGCATTGGTATGGCATACCTTTTGCACTGTGGTATGGCATTTGTATATGTTAATATATTTGTTTATAAAAGACAACAAATTATTAATTATGAAAGCCAAGTAAAGCTGCTGCCATCTATTGGCAGCCAAGAGAAGCAAATCAAAATAACCTCACAGAGAGTCAAAACATGAGGCAATAGGATGGATTCTTGTCTTGAGAGTTTGACTCAGCACAAGAAAAGTAGTTTTATTTTGTTTTTCTACTGAAATGAATAAATGAAATGCAATGAAAAATGTTTTTAGCCTGAGACTTAATAATAATGACCAGATTCAAGTAATATTTATATTAGTCTGGCATGTATAAATAAAGCAAATATACAAATAAATAAATAACAAAAAATAATATAAAAATGTTACTTGCCAATTAACTGTTGATAAGAAATTATAATTAGAAAATTCGTACATGATTGAGGAAGATTGAATATCAAGTAATTAGTGGAATACAACTTGTTTAAAGGAATTCATAGATGAGGATTGACGAATGAAAATAGTTAGTGTTGCCCAAATGCGAGACCAAGACGAGTCTTGGTCTTGCACACTCAGTCTTGATCTTGGTCTTGGTCTTGCGCAAGAGTCTTGCAGTTACCTATTAACCTATTATTATAGAGATATTACTGCAATTTACAGATAGGGAAAACCTAATTAAGAACGAAAAATTGGATGAGTTAAATGCAAAAGTATATTAGTTATACCAATTCTTTACATACAGTAACTAAAATTGTCAAGTATTAGTAACTAATTTGTCTTAATTTTTATTCTCCAAAACGATATTTTTTTACAAGTCCTGGTCTTGGTCTTGCAACAGTCAGGTAGTTTTTGTCTTGGCCTTGCAATGTGCAAGACCAAGACTGATGTTGGGCAACGCTAAAAATAGTAAAGGAGTTTTAGAAGGAGGTAGCACGAATGATGAAGGTTTTGCTAAGTGGTTTTATGGGAAGGAGTATCTGATAGATTTATTCAGTAAATTGTGAACATAGAGTAGAAAACTTAAACTGCCCAATATTTTTGGCTTTGGAGGGGAGGGAGCAGTGTGAAGACACAACCACTGCAGTAAGTAGAATCAATAAAAATTAGCCAAAATCCAAGATTAGAGACAAGAGGGTTGGGATGGTTATGAAGTTTATTATGGAAGGACAGATATCTGGATTGGGCCAAATCCGATACATAAGGAACATTCAGGTCATTATGGATTATTTTATTTGTTACAAAGTAAGGAACATCCAGGATTTTACGAAGGATTTTGGATTGTAAAGATTGGATACGAGAGGAATTCAATGGTTTAGTGGAGCCCCAAAGCTCAACTCCGTAAGTCCAAACAGATCTTATTATGGTCATATATATATATGAATCTTTTGTAATTAATTGAAAGATTAGAGCGTTTGTTTAGTAAGTGCTGAAGTAGTCGGAAACGTCGAACGGTCTCTTGTTGTTTCAGCCTGGTATGAGGATTTCAAGTTAGACGTTTGTTCAGGTGGAGTTCTAGGTAATTTAAATACAAAATATAATAGTTATATCAATTTAAAAATTAATTACATTACCAATAAATAGCACTGTAATGAATTAAAACCAGATTAAAGCAAAATTATTATAAAAATATCCCCGATATATACCGAAGGGAATGTCATAATAAATTAGAGTAATATGTATCTAAGATACAGCACAAGGGACATACTACAGCATATATAAGAAACAAACCATATATGAAACTGAGGTTATGAAAAAAAAAAAATTAAACGTTATTAGATAAAATAAGTTCATGTAATTTACGAACTAGCGTTTATTTCCTGATGTTTAATATTACAAGAATCGGGCTCTCTCCATATTATCTTTACCCTACTCTTTCATCAAGTGTCCAATTATGAACCCTTCCGCTTCGGAATAACTTGGAGGAAATGACACTCAAGTACAGAGTAGATAGTGGGACACGAGGTTTTGTTTCCTGGCCGGTAGAGGAAGGAGCGGATAGGTGACCTTCGATCGCCGAATGGCGGCTGTTTGCGAATCGTAATGAGACACTTTCTATTTCGTTGGCACGTCGGGTACGACCCCCTGCCAATCCGGACCCGCCGAAGCCAATCATTACTTCCAGGTGACTCCTCGACCTCAGGTTGCGATGCCTTACCAAAGTTTTGTTTCGAAGAATGCAACCTTCTTGCAACACATTATAAATAAAAAATCGAGAAAAAAAATACGCTTTCTATTGCTGAAGAGATTAAATTTGAGTCAGTCGCTAAATAAAGAAGAATAATGCTACTGTTAGTGCAAAAGGTCATATGTAAATTTTAAAATTCAGAATTGATTAACTTTAAACGTCTTTACGTTTCCTTTCAACGATATTTTTCATTTATTCAAACAATAACATATCAATAAAAAAGTAAAACATTGGTAAACCATCTAATGTAATAAGAAGAGTTTTAATGGATAAAAGTAATGACTACAATGCTACTCATCAATTATCTAACACTTTTATATTCCCATATTTAGTTATTTTTGTTAAAAATACATTTTGCGTATTTTTCCTAGATCAAAAATGACCTAAACCTGGTATCCTAGAATATAAACAGCATATTATATCAGAACAATACAATATAATAAAAAGAAATGCCATATCAATATAAAACAATGTGAATATAATATAAATTGTCGATTTATTGCAAAAAGTTTATATTTGATAAATAATGCGTTTGTTTATTTTTTTAAGTTCCATTTTCTTATAGCTTGTAATAATAATAGCTATAATCAAATGTAAATTTTAAAAAGTAGTTAGCGTAATTAATAATGTAGTCCGAATAATCTGTGATGCAAATGTATCAGTCATAGGACATTTTATACAAGATGTGGGTGATGTTTATTTTTATTATATAGAGATAGATATAGCTGGTTAAATCTAATAGGAGTAATCAGTGTTATAAATTATAACATTATAAATTGGACAATTTTTTTTTATCTTAGGGTGAATTTAGTCAATGGTGCGGACAGTGAACCTCAAACCCACTAATAAGTGCTTCGACCCTCAGGTCTTTATCAAAGCTTTTTGGACGTGTCAAAAGACAGAAGACTAGTCAAGGTCTTAATTGACAGTCAGCCAAAATCTCTCAAGTCAGTCAGTCAAAGTCCCCTAGTGTGCCTTCCTTTGACTTCATCGGACAATCTTAATGAAAACTTATAAACCCATTGTCAGTCAAAATGATGGTATACAATAAACAGTCAGTCATACCATTAGTATCACTTAGTGTGTTTTGGGTTCATTAACCACAACCTCAATCAACTGCTCTTTTAATTACATCTACGGTCAACTACATTCAAACCATAACAAAATTTTTATTCTCAATAAAGCTGGAACTTTAAATTGAGTAGTTGACTATAAAACTACATTCCTTGTTCATGTTTCCATAATGGCTCGTATACATGGTGTATTATGTAGAACAGCTACTTGGACAATGTTAGGCTGTGTTTGTTTTGATGAAATCAGATAAAAACCACTGAATAAGACAGAAACCTCTTAGACTCAGAAAAGTCAATAGATGTTGAAGGAAGCCAAACTTAGTGGCTGTACCTTTACATTACTTATTCGCAGTTTTGGAACTTCAAAAGACTTTAATGATATTAGAAATTGAACCATGTTAATTACTTCGAGCTAGAAGCCGCTTTAACTCATCCACTAACTTCCAGCAGCTGGAGACATGCGAGAAAGCCTGGACATAACGAGGCGGGTTCAGCGACTCCTGGACTATGAGAGCTATCGGATTTCAGCGACCGTCCGGAAACCCGAGACGAGGGTCCTCTGATTTCATACCAGGAGAAGGGAAGTCGCCTACATCGCCCGATGTGGAGTTTTTGCTGGATATGCAACATTTATCAGGTCGTTGCACAAGACGAGGCACGCCCTGTACTCCATACTTTAACCATTATTAATTTAACAAACTACATGAAATAACCATGGACGTAGATTAATAGATCCCTCTGAATATATTCTGTAAGAATTATAAATTATTATGTTTATCTAACAAGATCCCTTGTATGCAGTATTTTATTTTAAAAAAATCACATTCATCAGGTAGGAATTGCATCAGATGCTCTATACTTAAAACATTTTATCATGAGGAAGGAAAAATCTGCCGCATCGACGATCAAGTAAGACACATGTATTTCATTTCTCTTAATGAAATATGAAATTATTTACCATAAAACGCAATAGTAAAGCCAGTAAATTGATTATCGAAAAACAAACAAAATCTAAAGTTATAAGTATAAGCAAATAAGAAGTGTGTATACTTTTTATTTTGTTTTATTTTTAAATTGAGAAAAATGTTTGACAAAATATGTGTGTGTAATTTGTATTAAATAATGTATATACTTAATAAATATTTAAAGGTACTAATAAATATTAGTCTAGATGTAGAAAAATAAGATAAAAGTCATTATAATTAATGAACATATAATCAATTACGTAAAGGGAAAAATTGTGATCATAAATAAAGCATAATCATTGGTACAACTACCGTACTTAATTACTTAATTTCCTCAAGTAGTGGCTCGTAAAATTTTCTCAAATATTTTTCATCTTTAACTACTACTTTCTTTAAAACCCTGATTTATTTTATTTGAAATAGAGAAAATTAATTTAAATAATTATAAGATAAAAAAAACAGGCTTGTTTGAAAAGGAAAAATGCATTTTCAATAATTACAGAATAAAAACAAAAACAACAAGATAGATAAATTTATATTTTTTTAAAGATAATTTAAAGAAAAATATTCAATATAGCACATTAATTAGTCTTGGTTTGATAAGTCAGTCAAGGTTTTACTAATTGTAAGATTTGATAATAATTTTTCAAATCTGTGTAAAAATCAAGAGAGGACAAATAAATTTTAAACATGCATGACTCGAGATTCACATGATTATTTTTAGGTGTTAATAGTGATATCTATGTTTGAAATATTTTTTTCCTCTCAAAAGGTACGTTTTTTTTTTTCCTTTCAATTATACGTTTTACCTAGATAACGGCATTCACATTATAAAACATTTTTTTTTTTTTTATTCATGAGATTTACAACTGTATAAATTTAAAAATACATCTAGTAAATGTGCACATTTTAATAATACAATCACATGAAAACGCTTGTTGGGAAACAATCCATTGGTAGCACTCTAATAATATATTTACAAAAAGTAGATCACGAGGCCATCTTCTTTTCAGACGCCTTGGAAGTTTATCAGGCATCGAAAAAGGAAGCAAGGTTTGAAGCGAGAGGGTTCGGATGGTTTTAAAGTCTGTTATGGAAGGATAAGTATCTGGATAGGGCTAAATCGGAAACATATGGCACGTTAAGGTCGTTATGAATGTTTTTATTTGTGACAAAGTAAGGATAATTGAGGATTTTGGATGGTAAGGATTGGATACGAAAGGAATTCGATGGCTTAGTGGAGCCCCATTATTAAACATTTAAATGGAAAATCACTTCTTAACATCAATACTTTATATATTCGTAAGGTATTTTCAATAAGTTGTCAAAAAGTAAAAAAAATCCTGCTTTGTTGAGGTTGATATTACATAAAAATACGAGATCACACAATAAGCTTTAAAATATGCTATCAAACAACTATACCACCATCGGGTGAATATTTATGTATTCCTGCAATTTTTAAAAATCGATATTAAAACCATTAATATACAAATATAAAAACATATTTGGTTTATTATTTTCAACAATGAACCATTCTGATCGAAAAAAAAATTCAAAAAATTAACCCCCCTCTTCCCTCAAAATTTGAGGTTTTGCGTTTCAGGATACGTAGAATTCAAAAAACGAATACAGATTTTTTTGTCCGTCCGCCGTCCGCTCATTTTCTCCGAAACTACTGGACCGATTTTTTTCAAATTTGGCTTTATAACTAGAGTTCACCCAAGGATGATCCTCCTTAATCGATATTTCTATCCGCCTTTTCCTTTCAAGATGGCGACCGTGGCGAGCAAAACCTGCGTAACTATAGACTGTAGCGCTTAAACGACTGTAACCATTTCAATGAAACTTTGCTATAGTTGTTATTTAAAAGTTAACGGAATTTACTAAAAAAAATATTTAAATCGGACAATTAGGAGCAAAGATATGGTCTCTAGATGTTTTTTATATGTTACACTGCAAAGGTTATATCCTTTGTTTTGGTTTTTGGTTTTTGGAATGTGTTACTGAAGTAATTATAATTTTTTTAGCATATTACTAATGATTAAAAAAAAAGTTTAGTCGAACAATTAGAATCAATTTATATTTCTTTTTTTTTCACTAGGAAGGTAATATTACTTTAGATGTATGATTGTTTGAAAATAATAAACCATTGTGATATAATTTGCAGCGTTTTTATATAGATTTCCACCAGAGAGATTAAGACATCTAGTAATTTCAAATGATTTCACCCATCCTAAAAGATTATAGGATGCCTTCTTTCGTGACATTACTGGAATATATCAAAAATCATATTATAGTTTTCAATTAAATTATATAAACATTCAAGATGTTGGAGGATAAATTTAAGCCTATGTTTATCAATTTTATTTACAAGAGTTTTTTTCGTAATTAATTATAGACATAACAACAATTTTTTTTCAAATCTCCAGCAATTCTCTAGCTTTTGACTTAACCAAAATGTTTCGTATATACTATAATGATTATGTAATCAAATTTATTGATTTTATTCATGATGCTCTATCAACATTGTATAAATCTCTAATGAATTACTTTTTTAGATTCATATAAATTAAGTTTTTGTCCTAATCCATACTTAGCTTTCAAAAGTAAAAGTTGTAGACCCAAACCACAGCTAGCCACGGCTCAATAACTAATCACAACCTAATTGGAATCACTAAGAAAGTTAAACCACCGCTATAAGGTTCCTATTGCAGCACTTTCGCCAAATCCAATCACTGGAATATGTCTATTCCTTATTAGAATTGAGGCTCTGAACCATCTATAAACTACAATTTCATCACATAATTAGAAAACTAGTATTTCAGAAAACGAGCTAGATAAACTATCAGCTGTTAAGAGAAATTTAATCATTTTATGAAAAATAATAAGACATTCATCTGTAAATTAAATATATTTCAGCACATTAAAAAATATGTACACGTATACTCTACTGTTATCAGTGAGGATCTTTTCAATTTTGTCATCAACGGAAACAGGAAATAGATCGCATGGCGTGCACGATGTAATAGAACGAAACGAAGAATGGTAGATAACATCCTAGAGCCGTTATTTCAAAAAGGTCAAAACTAACGAATTGTCGAGCATTTACATACCCTTTTTTACCTTTCTTCCATTTTTCGTTCTAAAAGCTCTGGGTTCCGAGGATAGAAAAGTCATTACAGGCTCTTTGAATTACAACTTATTTTAAAATTTAAACATCTTTTTTTATCTAACGACAAACATTTTTAGAAAATGTACGTACATATACAAACATTATATCTTCTATTTATTTTTATTATCATTTTCTATATACAGGAAGGAAGAATGTGAACATCGATTGGTGGTACCGGCATCGAACATTCGGATTCGCTAAGCCTTATTATTTTTTTTTCTTATTTTTTACAATCTTATTGAATAATAATATACCTGTATGGAAGGTAAAAAGAATCAGGGATGCAAGTGTTCAGTTCATTCATACAATAGATAGAGGTAAAGATAGAGGATAATAAAATAAAAAAATATTGAATAATGATAATGATAATCAATTGGGCTGAATTAACGAAAAATATGATCGTTTACTTACTGTGTTCACAAGATAACCAAGAGGCACGTGGACTAGCTGTGCGACTAGGTTACTTCACCTTTTAAATAGTTATTTTTTATTCTTTAAAAAAATAAACTATTAAGTGTATGCTTTTGAACATTAACAGACAGCCCACCTGCCCTTTATACTCTTTAGATAGCAAGACTGGAGAACATCTCGATACATGTCCTGTATTATAGGATATAAGATATGTTTTTAGTGAAACGGACAACTATTTCGCTAGAAGAGTGAAATTATATTAGACTGAAAGATTACACATGACTGATCAAGCAGGCGTAGAAAAAAAAATATTATAAATAATAATAATAATATTATTATTATTATTATTTTAAAATAAAATAATTACTATATTTTAATTTAGTATTTACCTGACCGCACCCCCGACAAACTCCTTCTCAAATAATAATAATAAGATGAAAAGAAAATATAAATTTTTATTTCAGAAATAATATTGTCCTTAAACATCTTATCGCATTTATGTAAAATATTTACAAGCCCCAAAAAATCGTTAATATTTTATTACCTTTGGATGCCTTTTCCTGCATCCATATTAAGCTATTTTATAATTTATGGAACTGCTTTGTGCAGATTTCTTTTTTTATTACTTTTATATTACCACATTACGTTGTGCCCAGAAGGAAAATGCAAGATGCGCCATAAAATTTTCTGAGGGAGATAAACTTTTTTTCCTTTTGTAGGGGAGCAAACTGTTCCAAGGTTATGAATTTTCTTATGGAACCTTATTTAGAGTAACTTTCAAACCTAGAACAGTGATAAAAACATGTAACAGACAGCGTAACTTTAAATAAACTACAATTTTAATAATTTTGCTTCACTTATACTGGTTTTAAAAAATAAAATAAAATGGTTGCAGAATGAGGGAATACATACACTGACTACCATGATGAAGGGTTGGCAACCCCGATCTTATTCAATAATCGAGATTCTACCAGTTTGTTCTTAAACTTTATTCTGTCGTATTTCATGAAAAAGATTCTCTGCCCTACTATGCCATTTATTAAACTATATTTAGTAACTCCTTTACATACCAAGTATTCCTA